AAAATGATAATAGACATTTTGATTAAAAATAATTAATCAATTATTAATCATAAAGACTTATTTGATTCAAAATAAAAATAAAAGATTTGATTGGATATAATAAAAAAATAAAAACTTAATTTAATTTTCTTAAATAATTTAGAATTTTTTTTAACACTATGCCTAAATACTTCAACAGAAAAAAATGCAAGAGGTTGAAAAGGAAAAAGGCAACTAGAAAGACTCCTTTTTTTAACTTGTTCCTTTTTTATTCTACTTGTTCAATACTAACTAAATTTTAATACAATCTCAGATTGAATTAATTCAAAGTCATAAAGAATTCAATCCAATTCAAACTGATTAATATTTCATAGTCACAATCACATGTAAATTTGAACCAAAAAAATAATTATATGTTGAATTTCTTCTGGGTGGAGTATCTTATTTAGTAGAATTTCAAACAGGGCAGGCCCTGAATGGATTTCTGGAAGCTGCTTAGTCCTCCTCAGTCCTTACCTGAAGAAGAAGAGAATAAAAAGAAAGATCAGAAAAACAAAACAAGAGGTAAAAGTCTAAAAGACAAATAGACATGAAAGTTACCATCACAAAACAAAACAAGTTAACTAACTGATGTCACTCCCAAAATGGGAAGTGTCACATTGTACAACTTATTTACCCAACAGCAGCTTACCCAAGAAAGAGCAAAGAATTCCTTGAAGGAAAAAACAAGAAACCCAACAGCTGAGATTCCTAGACTCTTGACAGCATTAAAGCTTCCATTATGTAGGTTTATTAGATTGTAGTATTACTGTTACAGGACATACAAAAAATCCAACAGTGAAAATCACTATGCTGTTTGTTGGGTTGCCAGGTGCTTGCTTTTCTTTAATAGTCAACTCTGCCACATGATTGCAAATACAGACCCCATTGCGTTTCTCAATCATTCGAATAAACCATTACCATAAAACAAAAAAGCCCTGTAAAGGAAATTCAAGGGCTACCACCACTCCTACGCCATAGCTCCATTATCTTGTACAGCCAAGAAAACAACAAGAAACTTTAAGAGGAAAGAACAGAAAAAAACAACCCTGTAAACGAACAGGAAAGGAAAGTGAAAAACTGAAGAAGCAGAAGAAGAAGAAGAAGGGAGAAGCTATGGTGGTGGAGTCAAAGCCTTTACGTTTCCTTACTCAGCAATCTTTCTTTGCAGATGTCCGATCTGGGGACCTTGAGTCTGTCAAGCAGTTGTTGGATAAGTTGACAAAAGAAGAATCGCCTGATGGATCATCAGCGGTGTCTAATCTGATGGCAGCACAGAGTGAGTCAGGAGGGACTGGATTGTATATTGCTGCAGAGAGCAATTTTCAAGAGATTTTCAGTTACTTGCTCAAGTTCTGTGATGTTGAGATTGTTAAGATCAGGTCTAAGTCTGATATGAACACTTTTCATGTTGCTGCTAAGTTAGGACACTTGGGTATGATTCTGATTCCTTTGCCTAATTTTTGAAAATGGGTTCTATTATTTAGCTTGATTTTGATGATGGGAAATTTTCTTTCTTTCTTATATGTTTTGTTGGTGGTGGGGGGATGAATTTTGATGGAAACGATGCATCTGGTGGAGGAATTGAAGATTTTGTGTAATCGGTTTAACTATCCAATCAACTCATAATTTTGTCATTGCCTTTGTGTATGTACTGTTGTTCAGCTATTTACCATTAAAAATTGGGATAACACATAGAGTTGAATAGGTTTTTGGAGATTGGTTTTGCCTGGTTGCTCAATCAGTACAATAAAGCAGACTCAAATACGAGCAACTTGGAGCTGAGAATGGGTATTTTTGTTGTGTAGCCTTGCAAATATTGACTTCCGCGTGATTTAGGAACGTTAACAATATGGCTACGTCTTGATCAATTAAAATTGAGCCCGTTCCTCATAGGATTGTTATTGTTATTTTGGTGCATTTTTATCTGCAATTGCATCTTGCCTACAGTTTCTTACTATTTCTGAATTGTGATTGACAAATATGGATTACTGCATTGTAGGTATAGTGAAGGAACTTTTGGGCATTTGGCCGGAGCTTTGTAAGTTTTGTGACTCTACAAACACCAGCCCGCTTTATTCTGCAGCTGTTAAAGATCATTTGGATGTGGTAAATGCTATACTAAATGCTGATGCAAGCTGCATAAGGATAGTGCGCAAAAATGGAAAGACGGCATTGCATACAGCTGCAAGGTATGGCCTTACTAATATAGTTAAAGCTCTTATAGACTGCGATCAAGGAATTGTGAGCATCAAAGATAAGAAAGGCCAAACTGCACTCCATATGGCTGTGAAGGGTCAGAATACTGCTGTAGTAGATGAAATATTGCTTGCTGATCACTCCATCCTGAATGAACGTGACAAAAAGGAAAACACAGCATTGCACATAGCTACAAGGAAATCTCGTCCGCAGGTATCCCTTTTTCATCTCACACTCTCTGCTATATACCAGATATGGAGACAGCAGATTTCTATTTATCTATACATTTTTCTGCTTTAGATAAAAGTAAAATTAATTGTTCATTTTTATAATGAACATTCCTCATTTCCTTCCATTCAATTCCTTTCCGGTAGTTCTGGCGCTACTAATTAAAGTCAGCACTTCTATTGACATTCAACGAGAGAGGATTGTTAGTACATTTCTGTAATTATACCATAAATGGTGGCAGTGAAATTTTTATTATTGGACAATGAGCTTATTTTGAGAGGATGATTCAAAATATGTGCTGCTTGCCAAAAGTCAGTCACCTCAGTTCACCCTTCAAAAGGGATAAAGGAGGGAAGGCAAGATCACTTAAGAAAGAATATAATAGAATCTCAATGAGAACTAAAAATGATACTTCACTTCTGCATGCTAGCAGCCACACATATCTCAATCGCATGAGAATCTCGTCATCTGAGACTAGCGAATCACACAAGTTAGGAGTTATAACTTAAGATTATGAATGTTGAGGATTATGTAATCCTCATATTCATTTTTGGTCTTGTTCCTCTACTTATGTTCTGTTTTCTGCTTTTCAGATTGTGAGCTTGTTGCTAACTTATAGATCTATCGATGTCAACGCCATTAATAATCAGTGTGAAACTTCAATGGATTTGGCTGATAAACTCCAGTATGGAGAACCTGCACTGGAAATTAAAGAAGCTCTGACAGAGGCGGGTGCTAAGCATGCTAGGTATGTTGGCCAAGTAGATGAAGCCATGGAACTTAAGAGGACTGTGAGTGATATTAAGCATGAGGTGCACTCACAATTTATACAAAATGAAAAAACCAACCGAAGAGTTTCTGGAATTGCCAAGGAACTTAGGAAACTTCACAGAGAAGCTGTCCAGAGCACCACCAATTCTGTTACTGTTGTTGCTGTGCTCTTTGCATCAATAGCTTTCTTGGCTATCTTCGGCTTGCCTGGTCAATATGTAAAAGATGGACCAGATGCGGGGAAGGCTAACATAGCATATCACGTAGGTTTCCGTGTGTTCTGCCTCCTGAATGCTATATCCCTCTTCATATCTCTGGCCGTAGTCGTTGTTCAGATCACTTTGGTTGCGTGGGACACAACAGCTCAGAAGCAGGTTGTATCAGTAGTTAACAAGCTGATGTGGGCTGCCTGCGCTTGCACTTGTGGAGCGTTTTTGTCCATAGCTTTTGTGGTTGTGGGAAAAGGGAGTTCATGGATGGCTGTTACCATAACCATAGTGGGAGCACCGATTCTTGTTGGCACACTCACGAGCATGTGCTATTTTGTTTTTCGACAACATTTTGGGATATTTCGCAGTGACTCTCGGAGACGAATAAGAAGGGCAAGTGGGAGCAAGTCTTTTTCATGGTCATACTCAGCAAATATATCAGACAATGAGTATAATTCTGACCTTGAGAAGATATATGCTTTATAAACACTAGTAATAAAATTAAGCCTGTAAAAAACATGGTACAGCTGCAGAAAGTCTTCGTGGTATTAAGTGTACCTCCTTGTAATTAACCGTCCGATGTTTTCTTGTAGAATTCTAATATTGAGCAGACAGTTTTGAAATCCAGTTGCTGTATAAAAGAGATGGTTTCATGCTTTCTAGTTGACAGATCTTAAGGCTGAATATAGATTGGTGTATAGCCACGTTCATATAGGAATGGTCTATTAAATTCTTGATTACATGGTTTGACTATACTGTCTACAGGTGCCAGATTTGGGAGCTTGGCAAATTACAAATAGAGTGTGGATATAAGGGCTCAGAGGATTATTTGAGTAGCTCATATGGCAGTTTTGAACTGTAAATAGGCAACTGCTTGTAGTTGATGGTAGTCTTGACACTAGCGTAATCTGGCTGAGCAACTGCTGGATTCTAGACCCAGTCTTAATCTTAAAACAGTAAGCATTTAGCTTAATCATTGGTGCATAATTCTTTTTCTTAAAGAGCACGATTCGAGTAAGGTATGAGGACTGCTACATTGTAAAGCATGGAACATGTTGGAGCCATGGAAACTTCAGTGGTTCAACAGCCACCAATCAACGTGCCTGCTTTTCCAGCAATAACGCGGCATTGAATATGTTGTTTCAAAGAACGATAATTAACTTGGGGGGAAGAAGAGGAGGCTTTTACGCTTTGTTTGACTCGAGAAATGGAAGGAAAAAGACACGACTTTGTAAAGGCACTCCTTCCTCCGTTATTCAGACACCATGAAAAAGAAGAAAAGGCGTTACGAGGGACCATCAACAAAAACCTTTTTTCATTTATTATTCTCACCAAATTCTTCCAATTAAATTATCACTTTAACCATTTTCTATATATTTTAATATATAATTAAGAGAAATATTGAATGAGAAAAAAGATTTGAAGTTCGTATATTGAATAAAAAATATATAATAATTATTGAATTTAATTCTCGAACTCAAACCCAGAAATTCAAGGGTTAGCATACATATATATATATATGATATGTTAGGAGCAAGAGGGGAACAATAAAGAGAGAACTACAAGAAGCCAATAGAATCAATTATGTATGGAATAAAAGAGTAGATGCATAATTTCACCAAATATGTATTTGTACATGAATTAGCGATTCCCTTATTTAGTAAGATCGCTATGAGACATGAACGGATTTATAAAAAAAAAAACAAACAAACAAACTGCATTTTCTAGATTAATTATCTCCCTCTAATCCATGTGGTTTTCAATAAAAAATAACAGAACCACATGTGGTTTTCCTGTTCACAAAGGAAAAATGAATAGCCTGGAAAACCCCCCAAGCTTATATTCAAATCCCAATTTTTCACCATCCCAACTCCCATAAGCTTAATAAAACAAACTACTATGATATACAATTTTACAAACTATACCACATCTCGCCCTTTGAGATCGTAGTATAATTGACCTTCAACTATCAGCTGGCAACAAGAATTAAAGTTGCAACTGCCCCGGGCCTTTCCTAGATGATCTTGAAGGAGGCCTGCTTGTGTCTGATGTTGGAGGTCGCCGGGTTTCTGCTTTTTGTCCTTCCTGCATACATAAGAGGAGATAGGTAACAAGTTGATTCTCGGTATGGCAGGCGGGAAAGATGTAAATAAAGGTTAAGCATTACAAAGAAAGGACAGCCAACACAACCTTTCCATTTCTGCCAATAGCACGACATAAAGCATAATAAGAGAGTATGAAGCCAACTCTTACTTACAGGAGGGGGCCCTGTTTGACCTCCACCTAACATTCAACTAAGTGTTCTAATTTGCAGTTATTCCACTCTTTTTTAACCTAATTCACAATATACTGCCATAGATGTAACACAAATCATTAAAACAATAATGCAAGACAATGAAAATGAGACTATCAACAGGCAGCTCACACACCTTTAATAATGAACTGGAACTATTTCGTAGTTGTGCTTGTGATTTTGCAAGCATACGGTGTTGTTGCTGCATTTGCTCAAACTGTTGCAGCCTTGAAGCAAAGTTAATTCCATTCTGTAAATTCCCATTATCTTGGCTTATATCACCATCCTCAGTGATTTGAGATCCACTGTGATGTAAAATTTGGGTGTGTGGGTTCCCTGATGATGCTCGTTTGAGTTGATCACCACTGAAGGAGTATGATGGCACAGTTTTTAAACGAGTTTGCAGTATCTTGAATGCAGCACTTTGCTGCAGTTAAATCATATGGTCAGTATCATTTAAACATGGAAAAACTAATTCACAATGCGTAAGTGTGTTTTCAGTTTGTGACTAGATCAAAAACACACATTGAGATCTGCATTGTCCCCTTAAAACCAATCAACCATTCCCATAGCCAACACTAAAGTAAAAGGAATGTTTTGATGAGGTCAAGTTTGCACCAATGTTCTTTCCTTTTTTTTTCTGTGAGTTTGGGAGAAGGGTGCATAGAAAAGAAAGCAGCACAGACATACCTGTGGAAGTAGCATTAGAAGACCATATAATAGTTTCAACAACCATATATATCTTCCGGGTTCAAGAAGCTGGAAATCAGAAAAAGGATCAGCTACATAAGAAATCTTCTAGATTCAGAAGACAAACAAGCAAAATAGAAATAAATCAATTACTTGAAAAAAAAAATGCAACTACAATGACAACTAATTAATCAATTTCAAAAAAAAGGGGACAACTAATTAATCCACCTAAGGCTAATATAGTTTGGCACAGTAAAATGACCAGAAAGCTGCAAACTACCCTTAAGTCTATGAAGATATGCAACTATCTAAAAAGGACAATTGTTCATCATATCAAAGTCTGTTGACCAGTCACCAAAATGCTGACGCATAACCTTCTCAATAAGGAAGGCTTCATAATGACCATCATTATCCCATCATAAAATGCTTGTGCATAGGCAAATTTTTTGACATCACCATGTGAGTATGCATCTATATTATGGCAAAAACAAAAAAAACAAAAAATAGCATATGCTATAGCATAGTTTAGTTTAATAGAGTAAAATACAACAGCGCGTACCAACTTAGAGAAAGACATTATAGCTAGACAAAAAATCATGAATCAAAATACTGCTCAAGACTTGCTGAAATATAAGCAAATACCAGAAGCGAACCAAAAACTAAATAAAGAGAGAACTTATGCAATGTTACAATCTCCTGCAAGTCATGTTAAAGCTATTAACGGACAAGATTGTAAAGGCGAGTGGTTAGTATATAATTTAAGCACCTGCAATCTAAGATAAGCAAAGATTGGTGTTTCGAGCAAGCGAACCAATTTATCAAGCTGGACCAAGAATTTGACATTAATATCTTCCTCGACCAGGGACTGAATCACAGCACTTGCATGCTGGTACGTCTATCAAGCAAATAAATACAAGATTAACAGCCACCACGGTAGTGCAACCCTGCACCTCTTCCCTCAGCCCATCACACACAGAAAGAGCATGCCTGGCTTGCCATTTAAAGGAGTTAATAGATTCTTACCTGAGCTAATAAACAAAGACTTATGATTGCCATGGGTGAATGGCACCATGAAGCATACAAAGAAACAAATAAATCTTTTCCAGCAGCATTAACCAGTGACTGTTTCAAAAGTTCCCGAAGCTCGGATAGCTCAGAAGAAGTGAGTAGAATTAAATTCAAAGCCTGAAACACAAGAGGAGAAAATTTATAGTCAGGTTCTCAATCAAAATACCATTCTACTAATAAAGATCTGAAGAAACTATTTCAATGTTACTGCATTATTATATTCTTAAATACATGACAGGACCTGAACCATAATGCAGGCAAAATCTAGATCTGCTTCTCCCTCAAGTATGGTGGATAGCTCACGGTAGACCCTTTCAGCATCCAAGAGAACACAAAGTCTACGGATTATCAAAGCACCACGCCTAAGAAAACAGGGGAATGATTTGCAAATGAGATGAGAAACATGTATGCAATTCCAACAACCTTAGCAAGTAGGCCATGTAGCCTACCCGAGTGCTCAACAAAACAATTCATAATAATAATATTTTTCTAATTAAAAAGAAAAATGAACTGGCGCTTGAAGGGCCTAAAATACCTCTCTAGAAGAGAATGATCAACCCGGAAATTATGCACCAGAGAAACAACAAGCTGGCGGAAGTGTAGGGGATCTTGTGCTATGCATGCATGAATGTCAAGAACCAGGAGCACCACCTGGTTCAAAAAATTCAAATTGCAGATAAATTATTATACACAAACAACAGCACCTTTAGGTCAACACCACACAAACACACATATATTAACAAAGAGAAAATATGTAAATAGTTGGACTCCAAAATCATAAAATCATATATGAACAGTTTTAAATTTCAATTTTATGACAATACCAGGTACTTGATAGTAAGAGCAGATGCTACATAAGATGTGTTCCAACATAATAACATCCATTTATATATAGGCAAAGAAAATTCCCTAACCTTTGTTTCATTATCATCCATTCAACATGATAGAAGGACAAAAAATTTGGTAACAAGCTTCAAGATAAAGATAGCAGCAAGCAGAGCCAATTGTTGGAAAAAAAGCACAGCCACAAACGATGGGAGATTCGAGGAATGAAACAAAAGACACTCAAAAATGAATATTAAATGGACTGACTAGTAGTAACTTGTACCTAATTTTGGAATAATGTCAGATGGATTAAGATAGAAGTTATTCTAGCAAAATGAAGAAAACAATCAAAAGGAAGGTAACAGAAGCAAACTAAATTGAGTGCTCTCACAGCAAAATATAGGCATTTTACCCTTCTTCATAAATATTCTCATTTATACCAATTCCCGCCTTGACGCGGCCCCCCCCCCCCCCCCCCACCCCCCCCCCCCCCCTCTTCTTTCTCTTTTGTTATTTTTTAGGTCCAATGTTTGACAACAGAAATGAGATGATGACTACAGAGATATTGCCATGCCAGCTGAGTTAGCTAGAGTTTTCAGTAACAGTTTCATCCAAGATGCAAAATAATACATATTGGGAACATTCTATTGTAATCGTAATTATAGTGAAACCAATATACAACACCAAAATAAAGAAAAGAAAAACCTTAATAGAACAATTAAATACATAACACTTAAGGAGGAGCAGAAATTTACCTCATCAGAAGAGTCAGATAGAGCTTTCAAAAGGGTGTCAAATATGTCATTTAGAAAGCACAAGACCTGTTTCAGGTGAAAAACCAAACATCATCTACATTAGAGCAACACTGGCATCAGAAACTGCAAACAAATATAACATTCAAATTACAAATTTGATATGAGGTTATCCACTCTATTTTCAATTTATGTTGAAATTATCATGCCTCTACACAGGCACTGTGCTCATTATCAAACATGAAAAGATTTAAGGTACGCAGCATCACATATGCTTCCTCCAAAAGTGCTTACGATGCTCCAAAGAGAGGTCAATTATGGCTTTTATTCAAATGCAGATACTATGCATATCCATTACCAAAACAAGAAGTAGAGAAGGTTTGTTTGTTTTTGGCAGCCATCAAGATCTCATGGTTGGCTGTTATATCAAGTCTACTTATATTATAGTTCAGAATAAAAAAGGCCAGTTTAAGTTTTGAGCAAGACCTTTTGAACTTTGCATCTACCTTTAATTTAACAACCATCTTCAAGTGCCAATACAATGCATATAAAGAGAGAGACCTTGAAACTTCAAAGTGAAGATAATGGTAGAAAAGAACATAAACATGAACCACCAGCCATCCTATGAGGCATAATGTTGAAAGATTTGGGATTTATCACAAAGAATTTTTAAATATTTCAATAATACATACTTGAACTTTGATGACGTTTTTGTGCAAATAAGATCAGTATGATGATAGTAAAAAACTAAAATGATGTGAAAACAAGCACACAACCAGATGTACATGAAATAAACAAATAACTGCCTCCTCACCTCAGCACGATGTCTGTTTAAAAGGGTTGATATCCAGTGCAATGCTTCAATTCTAGTGGCCTCCCACTCACTACGCAGTTGCCTGATCAGTCAAAAGAACTACTAATTACTAGAAAATCATTGCAAAGTTAAATTATTTCAGGAGTTAAACAAGACACCATTTTAAGCACTTTTGAATAGCTCTTCAAAGTACAGAAGAGCTATATATTGGACATGCAAACTGCTAGTAACATTTCAAACCTAGCATTTTTCCCAGGTAACAAAAACTACACCTCCTCGCAATGGAGAGAATGGCTCCCACATCAAATGCTTCAGCTGGATCAGCCTTGATTGCACGAAGCTCCTCATTGGTTTCACGAGCAACCTAATACAAAAATATGACAACAAACTCAAAAAATGAACACAAAGGAAAGTACTCAACATGAGTTTCTAAAAGACATGGCAGATAGTCCTTTAAGATACATTAAGGAGACTCTAGAAGAAATAAACTTACAACTCTAATTTTCTCTTCTTTATCAGATATGCAGGGGAGAATGGCTCCCAGTATGTCAGCATAATAAGGAACAAGCTGATCTCCACCAAGTTTTACAAACTCATTTATCTGTACAACAAGAAAATAAAAAATATCATAGTATGGACAAATGAATTGACTGCAGAAGATTCCATTTTCAAGGTTCTTTACATCTTTTCTGCTTTAAACATTTTCCCTTTCTATGGCAACATAAAGTCCAATTCTACTTACCCAAGTGATAGCTGTTAACCGAGTGAATTCATCAGGAGAAGCTGCCCTCTGCACCAGTATTTCAGCCATGCGACCATAATCTACAGACTTCAAGAGTAGCACTGCTCGAGTCAGAAAATTACAAATGAACAAAAGATTTTCTTTTTATGAGAAACACTTTGGCAAATGCTACATAATAAAGTCATAACTTCTTTTACTAAAAATGGTTGAAGGTATCAGTCATGTTATTCCCATAAAGATGTTAAAAAAGACAATTATTGGTGTAAGAAACTTAAAAAAAAAAAAAAA